GGACTCCAGATCCTAAAGTTCAGCGCCCGCCAGCGTGCGGTCACCGCACTGTTTGGTATGAGATCACAGGGCAACGGCAGCCGTTACAAACCTGATTGCGGCCTAAACCTGCACCCCGTTTCGATGTTGGGCGACCCGAATGCGGCTCTTCCGGAGAACCGCAAACCGCAAAACCCCTACTTCCCTGTTCCTCCCACCAGCCTGGCACGGGCTTTCAGCCGCAAGGTGTTTGTTCCGAGGCTCCGCACGCACGCGTCTGGGGAAGAGCTGAGCTTTGAAGTGTGTTTAACCGTATGATACCCATGTCTTCGTCGCAATCGAAACGGCAAACGAGTAGTTGCCCGTGGAACAAGGCCCCCTTTTGTGATTCAAGGAAACGAAACCTCGTCTGCCCCCGAATCGTCTCCAGCAGAGGACGACTCAGTGTCTCGCAAGGGAAGAAAAGAAAAAGATACCAAGAGTTAGAAAAAGATACACACACACATACCCAATGACTCTCGTTCATCAGTCAAGAGAAGAGAAATGATTCGTTCGATGCAAACTTTGTTTCTCTCCGGTTCCCTCTCCATGTTTCTTGTTTTGACCTTGGCCGTTCGCTTCACCGCCGCATCTTGCCGCGTAGTCCCTGGAAAGATCGGGCGACGGAGAAGCGAAGATGAGGGGATGTGAAGAAGAGGGGTGATTTGAATGGCAAGGTTTTGAGTTCTTGTCAGGACTAAGCAAGAGAGTTTTTTCCTTCTTCCTTTTAATCCTCCGAGTTTTATTCCTTGGCCCAATCGAACCAAGTCGTCGGAAAAGTCACCGCCTTTGGTGGTTGTATCTGCGTGGTTCGCCAGTTCGTGATTCTAACTTCTCGCACCCCCTTTTTCCCAGCCAAGATGTCATCTCGATCTGGCTCCATCTGAAGTTCTATAGCTTGATCTTTTATGATCTCCTTCGCTTCTGAGAGGTGGCAGAAAAAAAGACTGGAAGGGCAATTGCCTTTGAGTCTCCACGTGGATGCCGTATCCGATGTTTGTACGAATGCCGTATGTGGTTCATGAGATCATGTCTACCCAGGCCTCCTCCTCAGGCCCCCTGTTGGTTGTTCTCTCTGCCCACCCACACCCATCCCACACACACCCCTCTTTGTTGAATGACTCTCTCATGATGTTGACATCGTCGTCGGACATCATCGAACCCCCGCCAACCCCTCCCCCTCACGACCCCCTCGTCCCCCTTTTCCGCTCCGGCCAGACTTTTTCTGCTCTCGCCCGGCTAGTCAGTTGACGGCCGCCTCACGTTGTGATTCGTGTTCGCAGCCATGTCCCCTCTCTCCGATGTCGTCTCTCAAGCTTTCGAGGTGGTTCGAAAAGAAAAGCCTAAAAAAGATAAGAAGACTTCGTCCGTCGTCCATGCTCCAAGTGTTTGCCGTTGCCCCATTTCCCTTTTCTTTACGACAGCATTCGCTTTTTTCGTGTTGAGAAGACCACAAAATCTTCCTCACCTGACCCATTTCGACAGTAAACTCCTTTCCCCCAAGGGCATACTCCCCTTACGGGCCGTGTGACGTTCGTTTGTCACCCGTTTTTTCTAATTTGTATTATACCACTCAAAAGCTGTACATCCTTCGAGAGAGAACAGGAAGATGCGTCTGTCGGTAATCACTGTCGTTTCCCTGGCTACGAGCTCCCTTGCTCTCTCCCTCGGTAGCAGAGACGACGCAAATGCCTTGGCTGCCGAACACGGCCGCGGCCGTGGAGAAGGCTGCCGCGCTGGCGAGCGTCCAGGAGGCGGCGGCGGTGGTGGCACCAAGAGGGACAATGCGGACCCTCAGATCGACAACCACTTCCCGGGAGGTGGTTTCCCTGGAGGTGGTCATGGCGGTGGTAAGGGCCCCAAGGACTGCGACAAGCCCGAAAAACCGAAGCCGATGCCTCCGGGCCCGGACAAGCCTGGAGCAAGTGACGCGCCCATGCCAATGCCCATGCCTATGCCTATGCCGCCGGCCGGAGGAGGTGACAAGCCTAAGCCGATGCCCCCGGGTGGTGAAAACCCCCCGAAGACGCCGCCTGGACCTGACAAGCCCGGATCAAGCGACAAGCCCAAGCCAATGCCACCACCCGGCGAAAACCCCCCGAAGACGCCACCTGGACCAGACAAGCCCGGACCCGATAAGCCTGGATCAAGCGACAAACCTAAGCCGATGCCACCGCCGGGCGGACCTGATAAGCCGGGGCCTGACAAACCCGGAGCTAGTGACAAGCCAAAGCCGGCTCCTGGCCCAGGAGGCGGCGGCGGTGGAGGCGGAAAGGGAGGTGACGACTGCAAGGGCGGCCGTCTGAGAGATTGCAAGTCGTTCAAGTTCATGGCGAAGGGCTCTGTTTCCGGCTCCATTGGCCAGTTGGAAAGCGGACAGCTCAGAATCGGACTGGAGCCGGCGACTATGCACATGGAAAAGGGTGAGGTCAACGATGACAAGAAGAGAGGCTGCTGGTGGACTCGTAAGTAAAACTGGGTGTCTGTGATTTTGAAGAATCTGAAAACTGACTGTGTTGGTTTAGCTCCTACGGAGACTCTGCAGTGTGACGTTGGCCAGAAGCCCGACTCTGGGTTTTCGGTTGGCTGCGACGGGCAGATTACGTTCAAGAACCAGACTAAGTTCTTCCAGTGTGAGGCCGAGCAGCAGCAGTACAACGTCTATAAGAAGGCTGACCAGGGTGCCAACTGCGCTGAGGTCATGCTATTTGCAAGTGGTTGCCGTGAAGGAGGTGGCGGCGGAGGAGGTGGTGGAGGTGGCGGCGGTGGTGGAGGAGGAGAAGGAGGAGGAAAGGGCGGCGATAAGCCTGGAGAAGGCGGCGGCAAAGGCGGCGACAAACCTGGCGAAGGCGGCGGTAAGGGCGGCGACAAGCCGGGCGGAGGAAAGGGAAATCCTTCTCCCCCGAACAACGGCACGGGCATGCCAGGCATGCCGGGCAACGGGAACCCGCCTGAGATGCCGCCTGCGAAGCCTCCCAAGTCTAGGTTCAGGTTTTTGCAGCGTCTTTGAGGGTTCGCTTCCGGACGGGATCTGTGTTGGTCCCTTTTCGGGTGTTCGCAGGTTGCTTGCTGTGAAGGATTCGGGATGGCTTCGGGACTGGCTGCTGAAGCCTTGGACGGGTGCTGCCTTCGGTCATGGATGCAGGATATCTATGTGTCTTGTCTGGACTGTGCGAGGGTTTCCAGGTTGAGTAATGTAAGAGGCGTAAATGAAGCCTCAAGAAACGCAAGAGGCAACCACAAATTATTCAATATATAAGATTAGACATCGCAGTTCCACTTGTTTCGCATCGTTGCTTGATGATGCTTGGGCACTTTGGGGCATTGCAGGAAGAGGTAAGTGGGTGTGTCAACAAAGACAAGGAGCTGGTCTTCTTCGAGGTTGCTTGATCAGGTCGTCTAGCGGCTGTGTAGAAAGAACATGTTTGTCACGCCAAAGGAAGCAACGACGCAGAGCACCTTCCCAAGTCTGCCTGCCTTGAAGACCCACGCGAAGATAAACAAACGTTTTATTCACCAGGAGCTCGAGACTAGTAATCGCAAAACGTGTGACTCGCCAATATTCTTTTATGTCGAGGCAGCCTTTTCTGGAGCTTCCCACTCTCGACTCCCACAACCCAACTTACTACCTTCGTTTTTCTTTGTAACGACACTCCCGAGGACGTATCACGACCGCCATCGACAGTCCGCATTTGTTTCGACTCTCAATACACCACCTTGGCTAACCGGTTTGCGACACCCCTACAGGCAGCATCTGGTACTATTCTAGTCGCCTGGAGTTATTCTTCAACCAGCCGTACCCGTGGTCCCGACCAAGGCAGCCGAGGAAGTAACACAGAGTCTCGTTGAACGTGTCTCGTCACCAATCTCGACATCGCTCCGCCCCGCCGAGCCTCAAATGCAGCGCCGTGCCGACCAAGTCCGCAACCACCTGGCGATCCCGAACTCCCGCGCCGAAAACGCCATGCAAAACCGCGCTTCCGATATTCGGGAAACCATGGAGCTTCCTCGCCTAAAGCGTTCCTACGATCAGATGAGCGATTCGAGCCCCCAGCCCGTCTCCCCAGGTCCTGCCTTCCCGAGCGACCCCCTTGATCTGAACTTAGACAGCGCGTCTATGGCTTCTTACATGTCCCGGATGGAATACTCTCGTTAGTCTTACCTCAAATACTCGTTTGGAAATTTACTGACAATTAAAGCCAATGCGTCGCACTTCAGTCCCTCTGGTCGTCCGACGCAGAATCCGATGGTGGCCGCCCTCTCGTCAGGAAACATGCCCCGCATGCAACTTCGTATGAACACAACCTGGCGCCCAGAGTCACCGAGATTCTTTCTAACCTCTTCATGTAGACACCGATAGAAACAACCGAGCCAGCATTGTTCCATCTAGCAGTCCGCCGGGATCCCGTCAGTCAAGTAGCATGCCGTCGACACCTCGCCGCCCTTCTTCCCTCAGAAAGGTCGCATTCCCGACCTCTGATGGCATCTCGAACACTATGTCCAGCAACAGATCCAGCAGCACAATCACTCCGTCCCCGAGCCGATACGCTCCTGGCGCTATGATGAGCAGCAGCCCGATCCGAGAGACGAAGCTGGCAGATCCCTTCAAGCCCACCAAGGAGTCCGACGCTCAACTGCAGATGATGATGTTGCACCCCCAGCCCATTAGCGAGCATCAGAGCATGGTTAGTCGCCAGGTCGAGAAAGCGCGCGAGCTCGCAAAGGACAAGCACAAGGGCCCCTTCCAAGTCGGTCGCCACCTCTGCCTGATCGATCCTTACAATGGCGAGCCCGTTCAGATTGCCGTAATGAAAGCTGACGGTATGGGCAATGTCATCTACAAGGACAAGTTCGGAACGGACGTCTCCAAGATCTCGCCTTCAGGCAACGGAGAGCCGATGCCGGGTAAGAGAGGAGAGTTCCTTGGCTTCAAGGAAGACTTTGGAGCCTCACACCTTTTCGGCCCCGGATAGGGTACGGCCATGCCGAAGCAGGTGGAGGAAGACGTCAGCCCTTGGAGTAACAATGGAAAAGACGCATGGATGGGAGCTAAGACGGCTGATTACGAGGACATATTTGAAGGGGAGTTGTTCCAACCCCAGCCGTCTACCACCCGGTTGGGACCGACCCCGGCTTGGCTGAGGGAAGCAAACGAGATTCTGGGCATCGAGGAGGACGATCCCTTTTCGACTTTGTACGACGAACACCTGGGCATCCAATTTTGAGGTTTCGGCGGTCTTCCACTTTCTTCGAGCGAACCTTGGATGCGAATTTGGGCAGTTGATTGCTGGTTTGGACCTATAAGCTTGGTATAACCCCGACAGCATTTGTGCGTCATGTTGGCTTGTACTCGCGACTTGGACTCTGGCGATTTAATATGATGCCTTGGAGTTTTGGCAGAAAATCGGATTTGGGGACATTGCCAGTCTTCAGAGTTAATCAGGGTGTGTATGAGATGTATCAAAGTGTAGAAAAGATGATGTGTTTTACTACTCTCGGTCGGTTGATCTGGCTCATCTACGGCCGGCTGACCTTTTCAGCAACCTTTCAACGTCGGAAGTGATGTCAACCAATGGGAAACTCGTTCTGTTTCCTGCGGTTGAGCCGGACACGGGAGGGTCTGCGAAGAACTCCTCCACCATGAAGAGGTTGTCCCCAATCTGTACCGGCGCCGTGACTATTCCGCCCTGGGCTGCCGTAGAGTTATTGGGAACGGTGCCTAGGTGCTCAGCTGATTTCCACGACCCATCTTTAGACCGCAGCACGGTGATACCCTTGAGGTTCTCTGCGATGAGCAGGACCTTTCCGTCATATCTCGGCGGCAGGTATATCGCATCCGTGCTGTCCAGGCTGACCTCGGGCGTTCTCGGCACCAGCTCAGGCTTTCCCTTGTCGTCCTTCATATTGAACCGGTAAATCTGGCGGTCCTCGTTGTTGTTCGCCAAGAGGATATCCCCCGTCGCCGCGAGCCCGGAAAAGCCCATCTTGGTATGGTTGATCTGCTGCGGGAGGAACCAGGGGTCGACGGCGGACCCCTGGGGGTCGACTTTCATGATGGTTCCCGGGAACGAGCCGACGACGTACGTGTTCCCGCGGGGGTCGTGCTCGATGTCCTGGAAGCCGCCGTACTGGCCGTTCGTCACGGCGGTGATGTTCTTGTTCCAGAGGACCTGCTTCTTGGCGGGGTCGTACTTGATGATGAAGTTGTCGCCCGAGATGTCCTGGCCGGCGGTGTTGAAGGCGGCGGCGGCGTCGACGACCACGGAGACGAGCTTGGTGTGCGGGTCGACTTGGACGCCGCCGATATGGAGGGTTGGGTTGTGCGTGATGCCGTCGAAGGTGAGGATGTCCACCATCGAGTCCTTGTACGGGTCGTACACGGCTACGCTGGCGTTGAACAAGGACCTGGGACGGGGTTAGTGCGTGAGTTGTGTAAGAGGGGTCAGGCTCAAGTACCCAAAGTAGACGATACAGTTGTTAACGTCCCAGTCCGCATTTTCCGGGTATAGCTGGTACTGCTGGATTGTGAAGCTGCCTTTGGTGAACGGCGGGCAGGCCTTGGAAGGGTTCGGGGCCGCTTCTACAAGGACCAAGGAGGAAATCAAGGCTAGGAGGAGATATCCGCACGGGGGATGCTGAATGGAAAACATCGCAACGGAACAAGTAATCAACAGATCAAAAGAACGAAAACGGCAGAAAGAACTCGCTGGAGGCTCTCGACAGAAGGCTTCAGGATGGGGGTCGTCCGCCTATGTATATACCCCATTTGCAATGATGAGTTCAGCGTCTCACATTAAAGAAGGCACCAGGATTCAAGCTGACGTCCAGCCGGATGCCTGCACGACAAAAGCTGCCGTTCCTACGGTTCCCTCGGGGCCCATGTAATGTGCCTGAAAACAAAAAGCGGCAAGATCAACAATCCTCGAGGATTCCATGACCGTTAAGGTGGTGCTCGGGATGGGATTCCGAATGGACGGGGAAACCATGGCCATCGTAGGGAGACTACCTGGGCATGGTCCCCGGCCGATAGAACCGGCAGTTAAGAAAGGAGGTGTCCGGGCTCTGGAATGACAGGTTTGCGTGAGATGTTCCGTGTTCGTGGGGTATTGGATGAGAGACATGGTCGGCGCTTGGGGCAGGGGATTGCTTGTTGCGTGGGTTTGGGTGGACAGACTTGTCGGCGATGCTTTGTGTGTATTATTTATAGAGGATGAGAATCATCCTTCTCTGAAAGGAGAAGACATGCCGAAAGGAGGAAGAGCTCCAGAGGAGGAAAAATGTCGATATCATGTCAGCTTTTGTTAGTGGCTTGCCGAACCGTGTTTCTCTATTGCCAAGAGTGTAAGCGTCACCGTCTTCCCCTAACCCATCAAAAAAGACTCGAGGCTGCCAGGGAGAAGGACAGCAGCAGATTCTTCGAGGGATCTCGACAGACAGCAGAAGCCTGAAGGTTTGGCATACGGCAGGGATCTTGTGCCGGCGAAGGTTCAACGGCAGGTTCCAAGCCAATGGCACGACTGCCGAGTCGTCGTCGCAACGTGGAAACAGGGGCACAGTGGCCCGAAAGCGCTTACTTGCGCTGGTTTTCCACGGCTTGGCAGCAAATGACTTGCATGTCCATTGGTGTTTGACAGGGAGATGCGAAGCTGTGAATCTCTGTTTCGCGAAGCTGGAGGAGATGGATGAGTGGAGGGTGAGTGTGCTGTGCTGTGTTCCTCGCCGCTGCGAAATGGAACGTTGAAAAGAAGGGCCCCACTTGGCACTTCTGTTACTGTTAAGCTTTTGTTCATCTTCGCTAAACCGACCGAAAGAGGGAGGACGAGGGCGCTATCGGCGCTAAACGACCGGGCCGCGGGGTTAATTTACAGTGCTAAGTCTTCCTTCCATCCCTCACCCCAACTCGACCCTTCACATCAGCCCATCTCATCAACTTCGTCTATTTAATTCATCTATTAACCCTTTTCTCACCAGCATCGTCCTGTCTCAGCAGGAGATCGCCATCATACGCGAACCATCGTGATGACTCAAAACCCGGTCAGCGAGAAAAACTCTACTCACCAACAGTTTCTCCAATGCTGCTCCAATGACCTAGCCATCCTCCAGCATCCTTTTCTTCCGGTTGGCCGTCACGTTTGGCACTCAAACTCGCTCACTAATATCTCACCAAGACATTTGGTTCAGCCCTCCGAGGCCTGGTGCGTCAGATGAGGCATACATACTTTACGGATGCGAGAGCGTCGTACCGGCCCAAAAGTCCCCTGAGCCTTTCTGATCTAGACTCCGACTGCGGTCCACAACACCGAACGCGATGCGAATTGGCAGTGTTTCATTGCGAACCTTGGCTGCATGGCTGGTGCTCTTCCACCTCGGACTCTCGAACACCAACATAGCTCTCTCCCATTGCGGCACAGGCCGCGGCGCGCCTCGGTTGGCCTCTTGTCTTCACTAAAAAACGTGGGTATCGGACACATCAGTAAACAAACCGTCTTGGCGTTTACATCCTTTGCTACGCTCAACTACTACGCCTTCGGTTTGTTTGCCGGCTTTCGAGCATTGACTGATTCTGTAGCACATGCCCCATGGACATGGGAAAGCTGCCCAGGAAAGCTTACATTGCCGGTAGGAATCCTTCCGCACGCACCGGCAAACATCATTTGTCAATATACATCCATTCCCCTTATGCCACAGACCTCTGGCTATCCTGCCGTCCTGAATGGTCCATCGGCCAGGCACAGATTGGACGGCCCGTCCCACGCAAGATGTGGCGCACATATGAAGCGAAATGCCAGTCTAAATCCTCTACACGCCGAGGCAGAGAAACTGTTCGTCCTGTCCGTATCACGCAGTCCGATAACGCGCTACTGATGAACGATTTTGCTTCTTGTCTTATCTAGGCTTTACGAGTCCGATGCACAGCAGCATGAGCTTATGCGGGCTGACTGGCTGAAAAAGAATGATATGCAACGTCAATCTTAGCACCGCGCCATCGCACAGTTTGCGTCTTGGCCACTAGGGATGAAGTGTCTGATATCTTCATCCCAAGACATGGCGCTACACGATGCTACGTTGGCATTGCTCAAGCAAATAGCCCATTGCTTCAAATAATACATATTCCGTCTGGTCTTTCTCTTTTCTCGCCTCCCGTGCGGGCTACCACGCTGGGGTTTTTGGCTTGCCGTATTTACTGTCACCCTTGATTGTGTACACCTTGTCTTCCCTCCTAAAGTGCCGTGCATCGTGACGGTCCACACACCGTTTCGCAGACGACTCGAGATAACCGCACCAGAACCGCTTGGAAGCGCATCTACGTGAGAAATCCACAACGATGCGAGCAGAAGTACGAAACAGAATCGAGGAGCCAGGCACCTCGGACGACGAAACCGTCGTCGTCATCCAAGATGGCGTCGCCCTGAACGCTGCAGGTCACAGGGACCAGCTGTCGCGCCAGTACGGCCTTCTGGGACTTGCCAGCATGGCCCTCACCGTGGACAACGCCTGGGTAGCTTTGGGCTCGTCGATTTCGGTCTCTATTCGTGAGTCCACACTCAGTCCCGCAGGTTAAATGTCCGTAACGAACTGGGATTGGTCTAGTCAACGGTGGCCCACCCGGCATCATTTACGGCCTCCTTGTTGCCGTCTTCTACTACTCTTTAATCGGACTGAGTCTGTCGGAGGTCTGTACTCACCACTTCTATCCCTTGTTCTGAAGACATTGTGAGCTGCAACTGATGCAGCGTCAAGCTTGCCTCTTCGGTCCCGACCGCCGGCGGCGTCTACCACTGGGCTACCATCGCGGGAGGCCCTCGATGGGGACGAATACTAGGTTTCTTCACTGGGTGTACGTCGGTCTGCCGCATCGCGCATTACGTGAAGCGATACTAACTTACACACGTACCAGGGATTAACTTCTACGGCTGGATATTCGCCCTGGCATCGCTCATGCAGATCTCGAGCAACGTCGCCGTGAGCATGTACGCAGTCTACCACCTCGACACCTACGTCAGCCAGCCGTACCACGTCTTCATCGGGTACCTCCTCATCCTCTGGGGCTCCGCGTTCTTCATCGTCTTCGCCAACAAGTACGCGCCGCACACCCAGCACGTGGGCACCTTCTTCGTCATCGTCGGCGGCATTGTGACCATCATCATCCTGGCGACGATGCCGAAACGCCACGCGACCAACCACTTTGTGTGGTCCTCTTTCAACGAGAATAATGCCACCGGCTGGTCGGGCGGGGTCGCGTTTCTCCTGGGCGTCCTCAACGGCGCCTTTACGATCGGGACTCCTGACTCGGTTACGCATATGGCGGAGGAGATGGGCCATCCCAGGAAGGACCTGCCCAAAGCGATCATGTTGCAGATCACTCTGGGGTTCGTCTGTAAGTCTTCGAATCATCTTATTGAGAAACAGACGTTGGTTGACCTGTGTGACAGATGCCTTTTGTTTCGCCGTCGCCTTGTCGTACGCCATCACAGACATCACCGCTCTCCAGGGCGGCTTCAACACCTTCCCGTTAACCAACATCTACGTACAAGCCACGGCCGGGGATAACGGTGTGCGCAACCCGGGCGCAGCTTTCGGGCTTCTGTTCATTATGCTCATCTGCACCTTGACCTGCTGTGTGGGTCTGACGTTGACTGTAAGCAAAAGTGCCGGTTTACCTTTGGCTAGGGATTGACTAGGGGAAACAACCCCCCGTCTGAGTCGCGTCAACGACTAACCAACTCACAAAGGTTTCGAGGACCTACTGGGCACTGGCCAGAGACAATGCGGTGCCGCTGTCAGCTTTGTTTGGCCGAGTAAACGAACGGCTCAGCTGTCCCGTCTGGTCAACCCTGTTCGTGTGTAAGTCGGGTCGAAGTCTTGCAACGTCGCGGTGCTCATTTTGATTGACGTCCATCACAGGCGTGCTTGCTACCGGGATAGGCGCCATTCCGCTTGGCAGTTCGACGGCTTTCCTCGCCATAGCTGGGTCGTTTGTCGTTTTGACAACCATATCCTACGCCATTCCCTTCGCGGCAAACATGCTGTCAGGCCGCAAGTATTTCCCCAAGGGGCCGTTTCACCTAGGACGAGCGGGGTACGCGGTCAACGGCCTGGCCGTCCTGTTCATCGTGTTGTTTGATGTTCTCTTCTGCTTTCGTAAGTCTGCGTCTGCAATGTTTCCGTGTGTTTTCCCGGGCAATGAGGCTGACATACTGCGAACAGCCTTTGTGCTACCAGTGAGTGAAGCGTCTATGAACTGGAGCAGTGTGATTTTGGTAGGGACGGTGGCGATTACCGGACTGTGGTGGGCGGTGCACGCCGTCAAACATTACCCCGGCCCGAAGGTGATGGAGTTGTATATCGAGACCGACGGGATGGCGCTCGCTGCCACCGAGAAATCTTCGGCATCGGCGATGGCAACGGAGCTCAAGCAGAAAGAAGCAGAAAGCCTCCGGAGCTGAGGAATGATTGTACGGCCCACAACAGCCTTTGGATTGACTGAACAAGAGATGAACAAAAAGACGAAAGAGACCGTCCTCGTCCCTGCGAACTTTGTGCCACCCCAGAGACTGCTGACAGGAATTGTGGTCCGACATCTCAGCTGCATCCACGTCCACGTCCGGATCACGCAGCCGGAGTGGCGGGGGCGCGGATGGGCGGTGTTCGGGACAACCCGCCATTTGCATCGCGTACATCCCGCAAGCTGCGGATGACTAACTGGAATCAACTCCAGGAACCTGACGGCCCGCGTTGTCAGCTCGTTTTCGCTTTTTTGCGTGTACAGCTGCAAAAGCGTGCTAGCTTTGTGGCCGGTTTGCCGTTGACGCGGGGTCGAGGGCGCGATGTTCGAAAGCGGAATTCGGGGCACCACGGTCCGCCGTTGCAGCCCCATACGTTAAGGCGGATATTATGTCCAAGAAGGGCCGCTGGGTCTTTGATGTGACTTGTAATTCGGCTCACCACCTATTTCATTGGAAAGTTTGTTCATGACAATGAATTGAGTAGTCGGTGAAGAGCTGGTTGAGACTGTATTTCGCTGGTTCACAACAAATGAAGGTTGGATATTGGACAGATCGGTGGAAGCGAGAATGAGGATCTTGGTTCTGTCATCCCAGAGGATTTCCAATTGGAGAGCAGCCTCCCGCCCTGGATATGCAATGTAACGCAGAAACGGCGCACGCCTGTCATATCGGGCCACCCATCCCAAGACCAGAAGTGGTGTAAAGCAGGTGCCTTTTTCGCACCCGCCCCGGTGCTTTCGGATGCGTTCCCCTCGATTGCGGAGTGCCTAACTGCATCGTTCGAGATCAGGGTCCAGCCGTCCGCCGTGGCTTGACACAGGACGAGTCCTCGGGACGCCATTGATGGAATTTCGCAGTCACATGGCAAGAAGCTTTCGAGGGGAATGGAGGACGACGATCCGTCGAGGCTGATATTGCCGATCAGGATAGTTTGGGCGATGCACGTCGAGACTACAAAACGACGGCATCCCACCGGCGCATTCTAGAGTGCTTCTGAACAGTAGTTGGCAGGAACAACACCGACGCAGTATCCCATCATGAAGTCAGTCGTTGCCGGAGTGCTCTCTCTCGCGGCTGCCGCCTCGGCGCAGCAAGCTCTGTACGGCCAATGCGGTGGACAGGGCTGGACAGGACCGACGACCTGCGTGGCCGGCGCCGTCTGCCAGTATTCCAATGCCTGGTACTCGCAGTGCGTTCCCGGTAAGTCGTCGCAACATCGTTCTTGGTGAAGCACAAGAGCTGAACATACACAGGCACCGCCGCGCCGACGACGACCTCCCGGACCAGCACCCTCGCCACCTCCACCGTCCGCACCTCGAGCTCCTCCTCGGTCCGGACCTCCTCCACCGCTGCGCCGCCCGCGACCGGCACGGGCTTCGCCAAGGCCGTCGGCACCAAGTTCAACATCGACGGGGTGACCAAGTACTACGCCGGCACGAACTCGTACTGGATCTCCATGCTGAGCTCCTCGCAAAACGCCGACGTCGACCTCGTCATGGGCCATCTCAAGTCTTCGGGCCTCAAGATCCTGCGCATCTGGGGCTTCAACGACGTCAACTCGATCCCGTCCAACGACGTGTACTTCCAGTACCTCAGCGCGTCCGGGTCGACCATCAACACGGGCGCCAACGGCCTGCAGCGCCTCGACGCCGTCGTCGCGTCGGCGGAGAAGAACGGCATCAAGCTCATCATCAACTTCGTCAACAACTGGAACGACTACGGCGGCATCAACGCCTACGTCAACGCCTTCGGCGGCGACCACAACGGCTGGTACACCAACACGGCCGCGCAGACGCAGTACAAGAAGTACATCGAGGCCGTGGTGAGCCGGTTCAAGTCGAGCACCGCCATCCTCGCGTGGGAGCTCGCCAACGAGCCCCGCTGCCAGGGCTGCAGCACCAGCGTCATCTACAACTGGGCCAAGACGACGTCGCAGTACGTCAAGAGCCTCGACCCCAACCACATGGTGACGCTCGGCGACGAGGGCATGGGACTGCCCGGCGATACCTCGTACCCGTACCAGTACTCTGAGGGAACCGACTGGGTTGCTCTCTTGAACATTACCACGCTCGACTTTGCGACCTTCCACTTCTACCCCAACTCATGTAAGTTCCGGGGGAAGATTTCTCATTCGAAGGTTGATGGTAGCTGACATGAAGATAGGGGGGCTCGGGTACGACGCGGGTAGCAAGTGGGTGACCGACCACGCTGTTCAGTGCGTTGCGGCAAACAAGCCTTGCTTCTTTGAGGAGTGTAAGTGAATAATACTCTATGACACCCGTAGCCTCACTCGAGGCGGCGATCAAAGAAACACTTGCTGACACGGAGACTAAGACGGCACCCCCGAGCGGCACTGCGAGCTGGAGAGGCCGTGGCAGATCACGTCGGCGACGACGGCCGGCATGGCTGGCGATGCTTTCTGGCAACTCGGCGACACCATCAGCACCGGGCAGACGCACAACGACGGCAACACCATCTACTACGGCACCGACGAGTGGACCTGCTTGGTCACGAACCACGTCGCGGAAATTAGCTGAGCGGGACGATGATGTTGATGATGAGTGAGAGGCCCGGGAAGAGATGGGGGAGGGGGGGCAAAGCGGCTGGTAAAATCTCGCAAAACACCGTAAATAAGCTTCTTCTTCGTTGTATGTACCTATTTTGTGTTAATGGAGCTTTGTGTATGTTGACCGAAAAGCTGGAGAAAAGATCAGCAACCCCGGACATGGAAAAGTGACCACTGTAATTGCAACCGCAGCCAATCAGAGCCCAGGGGAATCGTCTGACGTGCCTCGGTGCCCCAGGAATCATAGAAGCGTCATCGGCGGCGGCCCCTGTAAAGCTGCTTATCGATAAGCTGTCGCCCGCGAAATAATCTCAAGCTTCCCCGGTCGTTCTCAGCGTTCCATTTGCTCTACACTTCCACTTCGCCAAAGCTGGTTCTCACCGACGACCAATTGACACAGCACGACGCAATGGGCGCATCATCGTCAAAAGCAGCACAAGGCGCAGCGCGCAAGTTCCCGACCCGCGCGCCCGGCGCCGTGCCGCCCACATCAGCGAGCAGGGCAGCTCCGGCTCCCCCTCCTCAGTCGCAGCCCAGCACACATGCAAAGGCACAGGCTGCGACGTCCAAGACAGATGGTAAGCTGTTCTTCCTGACCAAATGGCCCGAAAAGCTTCGCTGACACGCTGTTCTTTCAGATGTCCTCGCGGACTCAATCAACCCCGAAGTCAGCGAAGAGTTCTCCTCCCGCCTGCGCCAGATGGGTGTCGTGCAGCCCAACCCGACATATTCTGCCACTTCGACGGCGTCGCTGCCAGCTCACGCGGCTGCCATTTCAAATCCGGGGCCCTTGTTCCCTCCCACGTCACGAAACGCGACACTGGTTACTCTCGAGGCGAGGCGCGCCTTGCAACAGCGAGCTGAAGAGGAGTTTGAGAATATGGGCAGGAGCGGGAACGACGGCAGGACGTTGCTGGACCTCAATACCATCGTGCAGATGCATCTGATGCGCGAGAAGGGCCATTCGTCAGCTCAGATTGAGGAAAGGTTCAACCTGAAGAAGGGCATCGTGGAGAAACTGGGTCGTCCGGGCATCACGAGTCCCGCTTGAGAGAGACCGAAAAAGCTAATATAAAATGTGATTGTATTATATGTGTAAAAAAACAAGATGATACGCTAGACTCCTGATATCGATGTACTACGACCAACCAACCCAATAAAAAGACACTTTTCTCCCTTCTTAACCATGCAACGGTCTACCAGGCGCAGTGGCCTCCGTCAATGCGCAGGTCGCTGCCCGTCATGAAGGTGCTGGCATCGCTGAGCAGGAAGACGGCGGCGCCGCGGTACTCGCCCGGGCTGCTGAGCCTGCCCAGCATGTTGTGCTTGGGCCACTCCTCCTTGCGCTCCGGGTAGGTCTCGAAGAGCGCCTCGACCATGGCGGTCACGATGTAGCCGGGCGAGATGGTGTTGACGCGGATGTTGTGCACGCCCCATTCAGCCGCGAGGTTGCGTCCGAGTTGCAGAACTGCAGCCTTGGAGGCGTTGTATGCACTGCAAGCCGCGTGTTACGTCAGTCTTGTGTCACCACCAAAAGAACCTCTTCGCGAACCCTCATTGCTGTTGAGGGGAAGAGAGGGGTAGATGTGAGAACTTACGGGCAGATCAATCCCCTGTTGGCGACTGTGCCGCTCATGCTGGCGATCAGAACGATGCTGCCGGGGGTGTTGAGTCTGATCATCTGACGAGCAACGGCCTGCGCGGTCATGAAGCAGCCGGTGACGTTGACGCCCATCATCCTGTCGACATCCTCGGCCTTGTACTCGAGAGCGGGAGTCTCCTGCTGGATACCAGCGGCGGCGATGAGGCCATCGAGACGGCCGTGCTGGTCGGCGATGCCGGCGACAATCTCGTTGAGGGAGGCGACGTCGCGGACGTCGACCTGGTGGTAGGTGAGGGTGGTGGCGAGCTCCGTCTCGGCTCTGAGGGCGACCTTCTCAAAGTCGGGGTCGGGCTTGGGGAGACGGTCGATGGCGTGGACTGTGAAAGCGTGTGTTTTAGTGTCGTGTGCCTGAATGTGTAAGTTGGCTTTTAATGATTTTCTTACCAGTTGCGCCGGCCTCGAGGAGAGCCTCAGCTTGTGTGAGACCGAGACCTCTGGCACCACCGGAGACGACAATGACCTTGCCGTGGAGGCTGAACTCGGGGAGGACGCGGGTCATGGTGGGCGATGTGAGGGGGACGGCGGCCTTGGGAGTGGTGTTGAAGCTCCTGACCGGGTTCACGACCGGGTTCACGACGGTTTGGTTGAGGAGAGGCTCAGCGGCCAGAGGAGCGACGGGGAGAGGTTGGGTTGCGAGCCTGGAATGCGCCTTGTTGAGCTGGGCGCCGAGAGCGAACGGCCTCAGACGGGTTACGTACCGAGACATCTTGT